AACGTCTATTGTGGGAAAGTTACTTGAATCGATAATTGCAAATACAATTCGTCTTCATCTGGAAAAACATAAATTAATAAATGATTTGCAACATGATTTTACAAATGGCCGTTCATGTTTAACAAATTTGCTATCTTTTTATTCCAGCATAGTTGAGGCAGTTGATAGTGGAAAGGATTGTGATGTTGTGTACCTTGACTTTAGCAAAGCTTTTGATACAGTGCCACATGAAAGACTGATTAAAAAATAGAGGCTCATGGTATTGGGGGTGCTATATTAAGTTGGATTAGGGCATCTTCTTGAGGTTATCTTGAGATGATTTCGGGGCTTTAGTGTCCCCGCGGCCCGGTCCTCGACCAGGCCTCCACCCCCAGGAAGCAGCCCGTGACAGCTGACTAACACCCAGGTACCTATTTTACTGCTAGGTAACAGGGGCATAGGGTGAAAGAAACTCTGCCCATTGTTTCTCGCCGGCGCCTGGGATCGAACCCAGGACCACAGGATCACAAGTCCCGCGTGCTGTCCGCTCGGCCGACCGGCTCCACAAATGGTTATTCCAAAGGAAACAGAGAGTTAGTATATTTATACTAACTCTAACTCTTAACTGGGGTTAAGTAAGAGTGGGTTAATGTTGTTAGTGGAGTGCCTCAAAGCTCTGTCCTGGGACCTCTGTTGTTTATAATATATATAAATGATTTAGAGTCAGGTTTGAGTAGCAACACCTGCAAATTTGCAGATGATACAAAAATCAGTAAGGAAATTAACACGGAAGAAGACTCACTATCACTTCAAGTTGATCTAAATAGGGTTTTGAAATGGTCAAAAGATTGGCAGATGCAGTTTAATGTTGATAAATGTAATGTTCTGAGGCTAGGTAATGATGATAAAGTTACAAGATTTGAGCTAGTTGGTGTTGAGATTGCGAAAAGGATCTGAGAGTTATGATTAGTAAGAATTTAAAACATAAGGATCAATGCATGAATGTTCGTAATAAGGCAAATAGGACACTGGGATTTATTAATCGAAGCGTTAGTAACAAGACACCTGGTGTTGTTCTTCAGCTATATCTTGCCCATGTTCTTAAGTAGCTTTCCCACAATAGACGTTAGGCTGATTGGCCGATCGTTTGATGCAAGTGATCTATCTCTTTTCTTAAAAATTGGTACCACATTAGCAACCTTCCACGACTCTGGCACTCTGCCTTACTCTAATGATTTATTAAATATGGTATGCAATGGATCGCAAAGCTCCTCTTCGCATTCTTTAAGCACCGTCGCAAACTGGGGACTTGTTTCGTTTGAGTTTTGACTATTTGTTTAATAATATCAACCCGTAACTGTCAGACTAGTCAACCTGTCCTCGTCCCCCACCCACATGGGGGATCAGTTGATCAAGAAAGAGGTTCTGCTGGGGCAGCAGTTTACATTAACAACCATGATGATTACTAGAGCATAAATAGTGGGTGCTCAACATTGCAAACAGAATTATATGCTCTGAAGGAGGCAATAATTATACTATTGAGAATAATTTACATGATGTCCTGTTGACCAAACCACACATTAGAAAGTGAAGGGACGACGACGTTTCGATCCATTTTCAAGTCGATTGTCGTGGGTATCACAATCAACTTTTCAACACAATCAACAAAAAGAATGGTTCAGGATGAACCGAAATGTCGTCGTCCCTTCACTTTCTAGTGAGTGGTTTGGTCAACATATTTCGTTGTTGTGACTCCTCGTCTGCATGATGTCATCATTCATACCGACTCTAAATCTTCGCTCCAGGCATTGTTATCCAGCCAGCACAGAGATAATATACAACCCATCACAGAAATACTACATCTAGGAAAAGAAGCCCACAATTTAATGCTGTCAATCACCCTAAATTGGATACCAAGTCACATTGGTATCCAATTTGGCAATGAAATATTAGACTAGCAAATACTGCCACTGCTCTACCTTGTGTTGTAAAGGTTAAAATATCTAAGTTTTTCACAGATTAAGGAGCATATTGGGAAGAAAATACTCACAACTCGCCACAGAGCTAAAGTAGCAGAAGGACGATCCACTGCTATATGGTACGAACATGCCACTGGGTACTCGTCTTTCAAGCTTCCGTTTCATTATTCCGTTCTATATCCACCACCAAGATAACGTAATTCCAACAAAAGCTTAAATCAGTACAAAAAGAAGGAAATTCTGTCTTTATTTATAACTATGACCCAGATATCACAGTAATAGGAGTAATATATAGGCCACCAAATTTAGACAGAATGGAAGCAAAGCATCTATGGGATGAAATATCTAGAGCATCTAGATCTAACAGTATTTATGTCATGGGTGACTTTAATTTTAGCGGAATAAACTGGTTGAACAAAACAGGGAATAGTGAAGCAGAAGATTTTCTAGAATTAATTGACGATTGCTTTCTTACGCAACACATTAAGGAACCAACACGGGAAAATAATATTTTAGATTTAGTGTTAACTAACAGGGAAACGCAAATTAATGACATCGAAATAGGGAGTGAGCTAGGGAGCAGTGATCACAAAGAAATCAGATTTAGCATAGAATGGAATAGACCAGTAGGAGAAAATTCTGTTAAAGTGCCAGATTTTCGAAAAGCTGATTTTAATAGCCTAAGAAATTTTTTGGGTCAAATTGATTGGAAAGGCTTGGGTATGGGGTGTGGGCCGGTCTTGGAGCGAGACATGAACCCAGCGATAGGTGACTTAAATGGGGATTTCGATGTGGATTCAATATATAACTTATTTAAGAATATTCTAAACAAAGCACAGGAACGTAGTATACCATACAAATTGAATAGATCGTATACTAATGACCCAAAGTGGATAACAAAGAATTTGAAGAACCTTATAGGTAAAAAGAGAGCTTGGTACAAAAGGATTAAAAATGGGGAGGTCACTTTAGAACAGGAATTCGTACAACTGGTTAGAAATGTTAAAAAAGAGATAAGAAAAGCAAAAAGAAACTATGAAGTTCGCATAGCAGGGCAAGCAAAGACAAATCCTAAAGGGTTTTTTCAGTTATATCGTACTAAGACTAGGGAAAGGATAGGTCCATTAAAAACTGAGACAGGTCAAATAACAGATAGTGATGAAGAGATGAGTAGTATTTTTAATAAATATTTTGTATCTGTATTTACTAAAGAGGAACTTAACAATATGCCTTCAGCCGAACAAGTCTATGTGGGTGGGGACGAGGACAGGTTGACGAGTTTAGCAGTTACCAGGGAGGATGTTCTTAAACAAATAGTAAAACTCAAACCAAACAAATCCCCAGGGCCGGATGAAGTGTTTGCTAGGGTGCTTAAAGAATGCAAAGAGGAGCTTTGTGACCCACTGTCAACCATATTTAATAAATCAATAGAGTCAGGCAGAGTGCCAGAGTTTTGGAAAGTTGCTAATGTGATACCAGTTTTTAAGAAAGGAGATAGATCACTTGCGTCTAACTATCGACCAATTAGCCTAACGTCTATTGTGGGAAAGTTACTCGAATCTATAATAGCAAATAAAATTCGTCTTCATCTTGAAAAACATAAATTAATAATTGAGTCGCAACATGGTTTTATAAATGGCCGTTCATGTTTAACAAATTTGTTATCTTTTTATTCTAGCATTGTTGAGGCAGTTGATAGTGGTAAGGATTGCGATGTTGTATACCTTGACTTTAGCAAAGCTTTTGATACAGTGCCACATGAAAGACTGATTAAAAAAATAGAATCTCATGGTATTGGGGGTGCTATATTAAGCTGGATTAGGGCATGGCTATACCAAAGGAAACAGAGAGTTAGTATAAATGGAATCAAGTCAGAGTGGGAAAATGTTGTAAGTGGAGTGCCTCAAGGCTCTGTCCTGGGACCTCTGTTGTTTATAATATATATAAATGATTTAGATTCAGGTTTGAGTAGCAACATTTGCAAATTTGCCGATGATACGAAAATCGGTAGGGAAATTAATTCGGAGGAGGACTCACTATCACTTCAAGTTGATCTAGATAGGGTTTTGAAATGGTCAAAGGATTGGCAGATGCAGTTTAATGCTGATAAATGTAAAGTTCTGAGGTTAGGTAATGATGATAGAGTTACAAGATACGAGCTAGATGGTGTTGTGATTGCGAAGTCGGATTGCGAAAGGGATCTGGGAGTTATGATTAGTAAGAATTTAAAACAAAAGGATCAATGCATAAATGTTCGTAATAAGGCAAATCGGACACTTGGATTTATTAATCGCAGCGTTAGTAACAAGACACCTGGTGTGGTTCTCAAGCTATATCTTGCTCTAGTTAGGCCCCATTTAGATTATGCAGTTCAGTTTTGGTCGCCATATTATAGAATGGATATAAATTCACTTGAACGTGTCCAGCGTAGGATGACTAAGTTAATTCCCCAAATTAGAAATCTTTCATATGAAGAAAGATTAACAAAGCTTAAGTTGCATTCACTGGAAAGGCGAAGAGTTAGGGGTGACATGATAGAGGTTTACAAGTGGATGAATGGACATAACCGGGGGGATATTAATAGGGTATTAAAAGTATCAACACAGGACAGAACACGAAACAATGGATATAAATTGGATAAGTTTAGATTTAGGAAAGACTTGGGTAAATACTGGTTCAGTAACAGGGTTGTTGATTTGTGGAACCAATTGCCGCGTAACATTGTGGAGGTGGGGTCCCTCGATTGTTTCAAGCACGGGTTGGACAAGTATATGAGTGGGATTGGGTGGTTATAGAATAGGAGCTGCCTCGTATGGGCCAATAGGCCTTCTGCAGTTACCTTTGTTCTTATGTAACAAGCTTATTGTGATTAACCGAACTCAATTACGAGCTCACTATAGCCCCTACTACATGGAAATTATATTCTGAATAACTGAATCGAAAACAACAACTGTAGTTGTAGGATAAATTGGATGCGTTTACATCTATTTATTAACATTCTATTAATTATAATTGGTATGTGAAACAAAACATTTTTAATTAATTTTTATTAATTATTTACATAAAAATAATTGTATTGTATTTGAGTTCTAATTCTAATATCGTTTAGTAAACCAATAGTGGAAGTAGGAATCTTCCATGCAATGTATGACCATTAATAAGGGCTGTAGAAGACCTTCCGGCTCCTGTATGGTCTCATTGGTCGATATCCAGAATAAAAGCGTCCTCGCCCACGGACGACAGCTCTCATGACACGTGGAGGTCGATGTCTGGTGGTAATACCTGGCAGGTTTGTACGCTTAGGCCTTACCTTCAGTGGTCGGCCTCTGAAGAGTGAGCCATCAAGTGACATGGCCACTTCAACTGAGTCTATTTCTCCAAACTCCATATATGCAAAGCCTTTGGGGTGGCCAGTATACTTATTTGAAAGAATAGTAACTTTTTTAACGGGACCACATCCATGAAAGTGTTGAGCAAGTTCTTCTGCTGTCGCCCCATAGTCAACATTACCCACATATATGGAGCGACCATCGACTTCTATCTTTTCTTTAGCAGACATCTGGATTGGTACTGTTGCTCCTGCAGTGCCTAGAGGTGAATCCATCCCCAATTCTTCCATTTTTCTGATATAAGCTTTAATTTCCAACAGTTTTGTTTCAACAGACGTGTCCTCCTCTCCTCCACCTTCAGAGTTCTCGTCTTCGCCGCTACTGTAAACATTATCATAAATCAGTTCTTCATTTTCCATCGTCACAGGAAATAGAGATGACTGGGATATGACAACGAATAGTGACAAATGCCCTGTTGATGATGAGGTTGGTGAGTAAACAAAATATGAGATAGCGTCGTGATTAGCTGTAGAGAGTAGTGCGGCTGGTGGCAGACCCGAGGTGTTGCTTCTGGCTGAGCTGTGTGGAGAATGGTCCTATGCAGAGGGCAGAAGGCCATATATTCCCGTACACCTGACGTGGTTAAACCGCTACTTGTTTATTGCTCGATGTGGGAGTACATAATTCTGTAAAACCTGCAGACGTAACTTAAAACTTAAGAATAAACGAATCAAGGAAACTGCAGAAGGGATATTTGCCAATACGTTGGAGCTGCTGTTTATTCATGTCTTATTAAGAGTCATACCCAAACTCATTCATATGTCTAACCTATAAGAACATAAGAACAAAGGTAACTGCAGAAGGCCTATTGGCCAATACGAGGCAGCTCCTATTCTATAACCACCCAATCCCACTCATATACTTGTCCAACCCGCGCTTGAAACAATCGAGGGACACCACCTCCACCACGTTACGCGGCAATTGGTTCCACAAATCAACAACCCTGTTACTGAACCAGTATTTACCCAAATCTTTCCTAAATCTAAACTTATCCAATTTATACCCATTGTTTCGTGTTCTGTCTTGTGTTGATATTTTTAATACCCTATTAATATCCCCCCTGTTATGTCCATTCATCCACTTGTAAACCTCTATCATGTCACCCCTAACTCTTCGCCTTTCGTGTTCATACTTTTATTACCGCATTAATATCCCCGTTGTTATGTCCATTCATCCACTTGTACTCCTCAGTCATGTCATCCATAATTCTTCGCTATTCTAGAGAATGTAATTTAAGCTTTGTCAATCTTTCTTCATATGAAAGGTTTCTAACTTGGGGGATTAACTTTGTCATCCTATGCTGGACGCGTTTTAGTGAATTTATATCCATTCTATAGAACGAATATCCATTACGACGACCAAATCTGAAATACATAATCTAAATGGTGCCTAACAAGAGCAAGACATAGCTGAAGAATAACACCAGGTACCTTATTAATAAAGTAACGATTAATAAATCCCTGTGTCCTGTATGCCTTGATACGAACATTTATGCATTGATTATTTGGTTTTTAATTCTTAATTATCATAACTCACATATCCCTTCGGCAATCCAACTTCGCAATCTCAAAACTATCTAGCTCGTATCGTGTAATTATACGATCATTACACACAGTAATCACAATAGCGTGATGCCTCAAATGAATCAATTATCGTTAGTAACAAGATACCTATTGTAGTTCTTCAGCTATACCTTGCTCTGGTTAGGCCCCATTTAGATTATGCAGTTCAGTTTTGGTCGCCGTACAATAGAACGGATATAAATTCACTTGAACGTGTCCAGCGTAGAATAACTAAGCAAATTTCCCAAATTAGAAAGCTTTCATATGAAGAAAGATTAACAAAGCTTAAATTGCATTCACTGGAAAGGTGAAGAGTTAGGGGTGACATGATAGAGGTTTACAAGTAGATGAATGGACATAACAAAGGAGATATTAATAGGGTATTAAAAGTATCAACACAAGACAGAACACAAAACAATGGGTATAAATTGGAAAAGGGGATTTCGATGTAGATTCAAAATATAACCTATTTAAAAATATTCTAAGCAAAGCCCAGGAACGTAGTATACCATATAAATTGATTTTTGTTCTTTTTTTTGTCACAAGAGTTGTAACATTCTTGTACAGCCACTAGTACGCGTAGCGTTTCGGGCAGGTCCCTGGAATACGATCCCCGCAGCGAAGAATCATTTTTACAACCAAGTACTCATTTTACTGTTGAGTTAAACAGAGGTTACAGTTAAGGATTTGCGCCCAGTAAATCCTCCCGGCCAGGATACGATACGAACCCATGACAAAGCGCTCGCGGAACGATAGGCGAGTTTCTTACCACTACACCACGGAGACTATACGAATAGATCGAATACTAATGATCCAAAGTGCATAACAAAGGATCTGAAGAACCTTATAGGTAAAAAGAGCGTGGTACAAAAGGATTGAGAATGGGGAAGTTAGTTTAGGACAGGAATTCGTACAACTGGTTAGAAATGTTAAAACAGAGATAAGGAAAGCAAAAAGAAACTACGAAGTTCGCATAGCAGAGCAAGCAAAGACAAATCCTAAAGTTTTTTTTGAGTTTTGGAACTCAAATTTTGAGTTTTTTTGGAACTTAAAAATATGCCTTCAGCCGATCAAATATTTGTGGGTGGGGACGAAGACAGGTTGACTAGTTTAGCAGTTACCAGGGAGGATGTAATTAAACAAATAGTAAAACTCAAACCAAACAAATACCCAGGGCCGGATGAAGTGTTTGCCAGGGTGCTTAAAGAATGCAAAGAGGAGCTTTCCGAGCCATTGTCTACCATATTTAATAAATCAATAGAGTTAGGTAGAGTGCCAGAGTCATGGAAGGTAGCTAATGTGGTACCAATTTTTAAGAAAGGAGATAGATCACTTGGGTCAAATTATCAGCCAATTAGCCTAACGTCTATTGTGGGAAAGTTACTTGAATCGATAATTGCAAATACAATTCGTCTTCATCTGGAAAAACATAAATTAATAAATGATTTTACAAATGGCCGTTCATGTTTAACAAATTTGCTATCTTTTTATTCCAGCATAGTTGAGGCAGTTGATAGTGGTAAGGATTGTGATGTTGTGTACCTTGACTTTAGCAAAGCTTTTGATACAGTGCCACATGAAAGACTGATTAAAAAATAGAGGCTCATGGTATTGGGGGTGCTATATTAAGTTGGATTAGGGCATGGTTATTCCAAAGGAAACAGAGGAAACTAACTCTTATACTGGGGTTAATTAAGGGGTTAAGTAAGAGTGGGTTAATGTTGTTAGTGGAGTGCCTCAAAGCTCTGTCCTGGGACCTCTGTTGTTTATAATATATATAAATGATTTAGAGTCAGGTTTGAGTAGCAACACCTGCAAATTTGCAGATGATACAAAAATCAGTAGGGAAATTAACACGGAAGAAGACTCACTATCACTTCAAGTTAATCTAAATAGGGTTTTGAAATGGTCAAAAGATTGGCAGATGCAGTTTAATGTTGATAAATGTAATGTTCTGAGGCTAGGTAATGATGATAAAGTTACAAGATTTGAGCTAGTTGGTGTTGAGATTGCGAAAAGGATCTGAGAGTTATGATTAGTAAGAATTTAAAACATAAGGATCAATGCATGAATGTTCGTAATAAGGCAAATAGGACACTGGGATTTATTAATCGAAGCGTTAGTAACAAGACACCTGGTGTTGTTCTTCAGCTATATCTTGTCCATGTTCTTAAGTAGCTTTCCCACAATAGACGTTAGGCTGATTGGCCGATCGTTTGATGCAAGTGATCTATCTCTTTTCTTAAAAATTGGTACCACATTAGCAACCTTCCACGACTCTGGCACTCTGCCTTACTCTAATGATTTATTAAATATGGTATGCAATGGATCGCAAAGCTCCTCTTCGCATTCTTTAAGCACCGTCGCAAACTGGGTACTTGTTTCGTTTGAGTTTTGACTATTTGTTTAATAATATCATCCCGTAACTGTCAGACTAGTCAACCTGTCCTCGTCCCCCACCCACATAGTGTGCGGATCAGTTGATAAAGAAAGAGGTTCTGCTGGGGCAGCAGTTTACATTAACAACCATGATGATTACTAGAGCATAAATAGTGGATGCTCAACATTGCAAACAGAATTATATGCTCTGAAGGAGGCAATAATTATACTATTGAGAATAATTTACATGATGTCCTGTTGACCAAACCACACATTAGAAAGTGAAGGGACGACGACGTTTCGATCCATTTTCAAGTCGATTGTCGTGGGTATCACAATCAACTTTTCAACACAATCAACAAAAAGAATGGTTCAGGATGAACCGAAATGTCGTCGTCCCTTCACTTTCTAGTGAGTGGTTTGGTCAACATATTTCGTTGTTGTGACTCCTCGTCTGCATGATGTCATCATTCATACCGACTCTAAATCTTCGCTCCAGGCATTGTTATCCCAACCTGTCCTCTTAAAAAGAACGTCGCTTTTGGCCGTTTGCCCGTATGGCCGAATTTGGACGTAATTTGAAATTAAAAAAAATATGAAAATAAATTTGGGATTTTTTTTTTCAACAACAGTAAGTTAAGGGTCCTCTGATAGGTTAGGTGGGCAGGAAATTCTCATAAAGTTTCAAAACGTTATGAAAAACGTTAATTTAAAGTGTCCTCTCATAACCTCTGCGCGTACGCCGGACGACTGAAATAGAAAACGGAACAGAACGTTACTTTTGTGAGTGGATTTCATTTCAAATTACGTCCAAATTTGGCCATAGTTCGCATACGAGCCAAAAGTGACGTTCTTTTTAAGAGGACGGGTTGGTTATCCAGCCAGCACAGAGATAATATACAACCCATCACAGAAATACTACATCTAGGAAAAGAAGCCCACAATTTAATGCTGTCAATCACCCTAAATTGGATACCAAGTCACATTGGTATCCAATTTGGCAATGAAATATTAGACTAGCAAATACTGCCACTGCTCTACCTTGTGTTGTAAAGGTTAAAATATCTAAGTTTTTCACAGATTAAGGAGCATATTGGGAAGAAAATACTCACAACTCGCCACAGAGCTAAAGTAGCAGAAGGACGATCCACTGCTATATGGTACGAACATGCCACTGGGTACTCGTCTTTCAAGCTTCCGTTTCATTATTCCGTTCTATATCCACCACCAAGATAACGTAATTCCAACAAAAGCTTAAATCAGTACAAAAAGAAGGAAATTCTGCCTTTATTTATAACTATGACCCAGATATCACAGTAACAAGCTTATTGTGATTAACCGAACTCAATTACGAGCTCACTATAGCCCCTACTACATGGAAATTATATTCTGAATAACTGAATCGAAAACAACAACTGTAGTTGTAGGATAAATTGGATGCGTTTACATCTATTTATTAACATTCTATTAATTATAATTGGTATGTGAAACAAAACATTTTTAATTAATTTTTATTAATTATTTACATAAAAATAATTGTATTGTATTTGAGTTCTAATTCTAAAATCGTTTAGTAAACCAATAGTGGAAGTAGGAATCTTCCATGCAATGTATGACCATTAATAAGGGCTGTAGAAGACCTTCCGGCTCCTGTATGGTCTCATTGGTCGATATCCAGAATAAAAGCGTCCTCGCCCACGGACGACAGCTCTCATGACACGTGGAGGTCGATGTCTGGTGGTAATACCTGGCAGGTTTGTACGCTTAGGCCTTACCTTCAGTGGTCGGCCTCTGAAGAGTGAGCCATCAAGTGA